CGCAATGCCATTTTTGTGCAATTCTGGGATGTTTTTTTAAGTAAAGATAAGTCGACGTGTACATGGTTTAGTGATATTTTAATTAAATGATAGTTATTTTGTGAATTTTATGTTTGTAGGAATTTGGTATACGTTTAAGTTGAAATAAACATGCATGGAAATAATTTAAATATTTGATACTAAGTATTTGTAATGCTTGCGGTATGAATTCGTTGGTGACGTGTATAATGTAATAGATGATTTAGAGGTAAAGGTTTTTGGATATTTTATTTATTTTATATGTGGAAATGTTCATATTTGTAAAGGGTAAATACGAGGGCCATCCAGGAAGTAGATTACGTTTCCGTCTGTGTCCGCTAGGGGCGGGGCTAGCGCGGCCATCTTGGGGTCAGAGCGTTGCACAGCTCAGTCTGCATCTAGCCGTGCTAGTGAGAGGTTCGTGCTGTGCTCCGTTCAGATACTGTGACGGTTTGAAATGTCTGCGTTAATTGAAAATCCCGCGAGCTGCGAGGTGCGCTCAGTAATAAGGTTTCTGACTGCAAAAAACTGTAAACCGATAGAAATCTATCGGCAGCTTCGTGAAGTGTATGGGGACAACATTATCACTGAAGGTGGAGTGCGTCAGTGGGTCATAAGATTTCAAAATGGCCGAACCAATGTTCACGACGAAGATCGAAGTGGGAGACCCAGCATAGTGACCGCCGAACTTCTCGAAAAAGTCGATGCTAAAGTTCGTGAAAATCGAAATTTCACAATAACGGAACTTTCTTTCTTTGAGTTTTCCACAAATTTCGCGAAGTTTGTTGCACGAAATCATCAGCGAAAAGCTTGGTTACCACAAGTTTTGTGCAAGATGGAAGGCAAGAAGAGGTAACGAAGTGGTTGAAGGCGCAGGCGACCGAATTTTTCGACGAAGGAATTTCCAAGCTCGTACATCGCTACGATAAATGCCTTAATTTGTATGGTGACTATGTAGAAAAGTAGTATTTGAGTGTGGCTTTCATCTGTATATAATAAAATTTGTTTCCTATACTTTGTTTATTTTTTTATTCCAAAACGTAATCTACTTTCTGGATAGCCCTCGTACTTTTTCGTGATCAGGTAATTTCATATATGTTCTTTTTACCGGGTTTAAAGATTGAGAAAATTGTCATGTATTTTCGTGAAATTTTTCTAATTTATGAAAAAAAAAGCAGTGTACATGGATATAGTGAAGAGTGTGCGCAATGCCATTTTTGTGCAATTCTGGGATGTTTTTTTAAGTAAAGATAAGTCGACGTGTACATGGTTTAGTGATATTTTAATTAAATGATAGTTATTTTGTGAATTTTATGTTTGTAGGAATTTGGTATACGTTTAAGTTGAAATAAACATGCATGGAAATAATTTAAATATTTGATACTAAGTATTTGTAATGCTTGCGGTATGAATTCGTTGGTGACGTGTATAATGTAATAGATGATTTAGAGGTAAAAGTTTTTGGATATTTTATTTATTTTATATGTGGAAATGTTCATATTTGTAAAGGGTAAATACTTTTTCGCGATCAGGTAATTTCATAGATGTTCTTTTTACCGGGTTTAAAGATTGAGAAAATTGTCATGTATTTTCGTGAAATTTTTCTAATTTATGAGAAAAAAGCAGTGTACATGGATATAGTGAAGAGTGTGCGCAATGCCATTTTTGTGCAATTCTGGGATTTTTTTTAAGTAAAAATAAGTCGCCGTGTACATGGTTTATGTGTATGTGTTATTTTGAAAAACGCGTAAGGAGTATGGTATTGTGCACTTTTCCCAATTTTGCCGTGAATATTTGTCATGATTAAGCAGTTTTGTTTGATAAAATTTCTAGCATAAGTGTAATTCGGCTACTAGATTGTTGGAAGAAGTGTTCAGTAGATAAAAAGAAAAGAAACATGTCTTTACTTCGTGAAGACAAAATGGTGGCGGGGAAAAAAATAGAGTGTTGTTGTAAAAGAGTTGGTTGCCAAATTTTCGCCAAAAAATCGCCAAGTTACCATAATGTAAAGATCAACCCACCCCTGTTCCTAAATTTTGGCGAAATCCTTTCTTTAGTATAAAATATATTAACCTGTTGGCGCCCGCCAAATCGCCAAACTCATAAATCTGTGATATTACATAAAGTCCTTAAGAACACTCCTGATGAGAAGATAGCGTCACCTCATGATTTCAATTAATATCACTGATTGGATGAGCCTCGTGACGTACACATATGTATAAGTAGGGCTTCTGCTCAAGGTACGAGGTGAACGCTTGTGAGATGGATGCTAAAATAAACCTACCACTTTATATTCCAAAATTTGTCTCATTCCTGTTGCCCCGGCTGCACAAAACAAATAATGTATGAGAAATTACATTTCATATATATTTAAAAATATGCCGAAACAAATAAAAGATTTAATTCTTGAACTAATCTACAATATCATTTAAATTCAGAAGCATAAGCAAATCAAGTGCAAAACCAATCCATGAAAATAAATTCACTAATTTAGCAAATTAAAATTAATCCATACACTTTTTTAAAAAAATGCATAAGTGAATGACTGTTGAGCAGGCAGGAGACAGGGGAAGTTGCCTCCAAACCTAACTCTCCAATCATTCAATTCGTGTTTCGTCATTCATGCAGGCAAGGGTAAAAGTCAAAAGCAAAAAGTGAAGAATGTCCAAAAAGAAATACCAATAAAGAGGTACCCTTAGAAATTAGCATTTAAGAATTAAAGTTTTAAAGGAAAATACTAATGAAGTCTTTGAGAAACAAGCAAGTAAAGGTATTAAATTAAACTTTTTTTTAAAAAAATTAAATTTTTAAGAACTATTTTTTAAAAAAACTAAAATATGATTGAACCTGTCTCGAACCTCCAACAAAACATACAAAAAAAAACTAGCAGTGCTTCCAAGTTCGCCAATCCCAAAAAATTTTAAAAATTTTTTTCTACTTGCAAACTAATAACAAATTTAAGAGTTTCTAGTTTATTTACAGTGTGAGCTCCATCTAAGGTATTTTGTGCGTTATGGCATTTTGTCCCATTTTTAACGAGCATTTTAAGCTAAACATACGGTTCTGAAGAATAATGGTCAACTTAATATAACATGTGACATGACGAAAATATAGTCAGCCTATTTTTGAACTTATACTTAACATCTGGATTTATTGTAAAATGAAGACTAAGAAAACGCATAATTCAAGGAAACTAACATTTTATACTTTTAGTTTCGCACATTTAAATATTCTGGCACTTTTTTAGGAAACTACACATATTCGATTACATTTGGATATCAAACATTTTACTTTAATTGTATATTGAATTCCTATGTACAAACGGAACAATATAATATTTTGTGCAGTTGAAAAAATATATAAGTGATACATACAACAAGCCTTTGAAGCTTCCTTCTATATATATCATGCTGAACTGAATAGAACTTTTAAAACCAAATGCACGCGGTTAACAACAAATTTGTTCTTTGGTCTAATCACAACCACAACCAGCGAATCATACGCTGCAACGCAGTGTTGCCAAATCGCGCAATTTTTCGCAAATTTGCTACTTTTGACAAAACTATGCTGCCAAAATTTATGTGCTTGCGATTTTGCAATGCGTACACGGAGGTTAGAATGGATGGAATAAGCCAAGGTTAGTAAAATCCAAGATCCGTAGAGAAACGGACCTTCAGTAAAATCAACAAGGTTGTCGCATAAGAGGGAAATGCGTTTGTTCCGTCACATTACTAATTAAGTTTAGTCAAAACGAAATGGCAACACTTTCTAATCTCCACGAAGAACGAAGTCAAGATCAGTAAAATACTTTCTTTAGGATTTTTCTTTAGGATTTACTTAGGATATTTTAGAAACCTTGGAACGAAGTTAGCAAAGTCGGTATTCTATCGATTAAATGTGCATGTAAAATGTAAATAAATATTATGAATAAGGATATATAACGTTGTAAGGAATAAAATATTGATTCTATTGATGTCAGAAAAGCGTTATTTTCCTATATTTGTATCCAAGACTCTTCACGTTGAATGGTCAACCACCACAAGTCGGCTGATAGACCCGTCAACTCAATGCGCATGCGTGGTTAATGTTGGTCCCAATAGCTCAAGTGGCTAATCGAACCTCTGGTGCGAATATCATCGGTCGCTCTAAAATGCGTAAACTGCTTCCGAATTCAAAAAGAGATAGTGTAGAGAGCCCATTTCAGTTCTCCAAGATTAGGTTGTCCGCTTTTCCCAAAATGGCTTCACATTTCAAAGAGGGGTGGTGTAGGGCGTTCATTTTAGTTCTCCAAGATTAGGTGGTCCGCTTTTCCCAAAAATGGCTTTCGAATTCAAAGAAAGATCGAGCAGATTACATTTTTTTCAAGATGGGGGGGGAGGAAAAAGCCATGATTGTATAAGTATTGAGGTATATTATTATGAGGTAAGTATTATGGGGTCTCTACACCAAAAGGTTTAAGAAACCCTGCTCTACATTTCGATTGGTACGCCACCGACAATGACTCTTTAATTCTTTTTTACTAACTCTGATTTTCTAGATTACTTTCTAGATCCTACTCAGAGATTCGCCTCTCCTCTTTCCGCCACTACCCAGCCATGCTGACTTTCCTATTTTTTCTCCTCTATCATTCTTTTCTGTGTTCCCCTAACTCTGTACGCTTTTGTATTCTTCTGATATAGAGATAGAGGGTTTTGAACCATAAGCAAAAGAACGTCAATACATATTCTTTGCATTGGTAGTCCGTAACATTTCCTCATTGGCATTGACCACTGTAAAGGGAATGTCAGTCCAGTAAGATAGATAGATACATGCATACACATATATATGTATAATAAATTCTATACATTGCTCTAGTTATTTTGTGCTACTTTTAACTTGTTATAGAACAAGGTCTTCTACCTAGTTGGCCTTTTCTGCTACGGACCTTGCCTTTACGCTATGAATATTTTTCTGAAGTGAAGAGAATTAAATGCTTTGTGTTTGTTTACTAATTTTTGAAAAAGCAAGCATTGCCTTATGTAATGACGGTACGAACGCGTTTCACCAGTTTCTCTCCAAAATTCAGTATTATTGATTTTTACGATTAATTGTTGTATAGTTATGATGAAACTATGACCATTTTCACCATGCTACGATTGACTGGCAAAATAAATTTTAAATTATCGTTTCATACCAAGGTACTGCAAAGTATTCTGTTCTTTTTAAAATATAGTGTACATCTCTTTGCGTACATACTTTGAAGACTAGATATCTAACAGAGCTGATCTCCTTTCTTTACTTTATGATAAACTGCTGCACAATGCACATGAACTATATTATGTTTTTATTTTTGTGAATAAACTCATTTTCCACAGTTTTGTAGCAGCCATCTATTTTTATATCAGCAGAATATAACAAGGAATTGATACTTATGTAATTATTCAAATAAATCGTTTTATTGTGATTCATTTGACGAAAGCTGTAATTTGCAAAACTTTAAGTTCAATTCCTGACACCATAAGTAAACGAAAGGAAAGGAATCCGTCCAGACCCCCTCCCCATCTGTGTTCAGACACCATTTTCTTCCTAGGAGGAACGAAAACTTTGCACTTCAATTCAAATTTTAATTTCATGATGTGATTGTTTAAATACAGTCTTTCTTTAGGAAGAATATCTCTTGAACCACTTTTTCATCTCTTAGCAAATCGCAGGATCCTAAAATTCATTGCCATGAAGAAAAAATTAACTATTTACCCTGAAAATCAATATATAAATCTACTTATAACAGACGGGTATAAACGGGTGTTTCTTTTATTGTTTAAATTTCATAGGAATCTCTTTAAAGAGAGATTCAAAGCACTTTTTCCTTTCAGTAATTTTGCTCAAAATACTGTGTTACTACAGAAATTTTACCTCAGTTTCTCACCATTATAGCTAAAACTGACAAACTCATATTTTAAAATTAAATGGAAAGCAAAAGATAAGGCTTGTTAAAACTGAAGAATCATTATGCATATGGTTGCCTGAATTTGGTGGTTTGTGTTTATGATGGTTACAGTAATACATTAAGTGGCTAAAGTGCAGAATCGCCCACTTATTTGTTTGGCACTTTTTACGAGATTAAGAAGAATTGGATTTTTGTCAATTTTCTTTGACTTTTTAAGTGAAAATAGGTCGATGATATAAAGTCATTCCATTTTTGTGCAATTCTGGGATTTTTTTAAAGTGAAAATAGGTCGATTTGTACATGGATACCGAGTATGTGCAATTCTTAAAAACGCACCAAGCAGTGGACGATTTTGCACTTTCTCCATTTAAATATCCAGAAGAGGCAGAAGAGAAAAATGTGAGTGGGTTCCAGAATTTCAATATTTGTTGTACATATATATTCCCATCACACTAACTGTATGTCTTAGTCCCAGTTTTGATGAAGATCATCCTGAGATGATTGTTCTGAGGATCTCTTACCTCTCTTCCTCCAGCTTCAAACCATTTGAAAAATTTTTGGCTGATCAGTATTTTAAATGCTGCATGGACACTATATATAGCACTAGCCGGCTATTAAAATTAAAGTGGGTGAGTTTAATGAATGGTGACTGTAGTGTTGCAAATTATGGTATCAACTTTGATCTTATTTAGTAAGACAGTAGCTAACAGTTAACCCTTTGAAGGCCAAAATGCTGGAGACAGGCTTTCATTCAAGTGATCACAACTGCCTGAAATGGCCAATGTTGCAATGTTGTTTTTTATAGCTGATTGCAATATTGATGTACAAAATTTTTGCTAAATACATTTTATTGAAGCACCATATAACTGAAAGGTAAATGAAGGAACTACAAACAGCTTTTATCAGCCACAAATAATTATTCTGGATCTGAAAAAGCATTCTTTTGTGAGTTTTATAAGAAGCAGAGATGAGTTAAATGAATGGTGGTTTTGTTATTGATTAGTATGTACCTGTTTTGATTCTTAGAAATCCGAACATAATAAGCAGCTGAATGTTAATATGTGGTGAGTACTGTACTTTCAAACATCCATGGCTTCTCTGGGTTTTTAATTTGGGTCCAGTGTATAATAACTATACTGAGTAGGGTAGCTAGAAAATAAAATTTTGAAAAGGATCTTGTAAATAGAGTTTAAAATGAGAAACTCCTGTGAAATCCCTTAAACCAGCCCTGAAATTAGGAATTGTTATTGAAATCTTTAGAATCTGAAAATAAAGTTTGTAGAAGAAAATAATTTTAACACATCTAATTAAGCAATTCATATTTATTTTAATTCATTTTTTACAGGTACATTCATGGCCTATTTCTTTCCAGAGTAATGCTGCTTCACAAATTTTTAAGAGATGCCCACATGCATCGAACATACCTGTTCGATTACTGTGCTGTAATTCTAAAACATTTTCAGTAAGTCTGCATTATGTTTTGTTAATACAAAACCTGGTGATTTTATTTATAAATTTCTGAAGTTTAAAATAAAAATGTTATGCGTTTTGTTGCATTATACATTTTTATTTACAGAACATACTGAAAACGAATAAAAGCTCTTTTTTTGCTTCTCATTGTGGTTTCATTCAGCCTAATAAACTTTTTAAAGGTATGTACTTTTTTTTTTCTGGTTATGCAGTGTTATGTTTATCCTCTTTAACACACTAATGACTTTCTGTAGTTATATATGTTTACTGCAACTAACATTTTTAACCCTCTGACTGCTCAGTTTGTGGACCAAAATCACATCCAATTTTTTTTTTTTTTTTTTCATATTTTAAATCTATATATATTGGAGAATTGAAAAATGCTCTTTTTCTTTCTAGAAAAATATTTTTGTATAGATTTTTTTATCATGAGAACTAAGTTGCCAGAAAAACCAATTTCAGAAAAACACAAAAAAAAAAAAAAAAAAAAAAAACTTTTTAAAAATAAATTTCAGTCGAATTACAGTTAATTTCTATTTATTGCATAATATAAAAAAGTAAAATGTATAAAATTTAAGAAAATATAAAGCACTGAGGGAAAAATACCTTACAAATGCAGTTTTGTGTGATAGAGTTTAAAACAGGGTTCAAGGCAAAGTCCAACTTCACACTCTTTGCATGCACCAGACTGAATAAATCTAATTAATAATTAATCTAATCAATAAATCTAATTAATAATTCAATAATTTAATTAAATAATTAAGATAATTGCTGAACGTTTTCTAGCAGCTATTTCTGTAAGAAAAAAGCGGCAAAAAGTGAAGTTGGAGCACTAATACCACGTGCCTTCAAATTCCGCAATTTAGTGGACAACTAACAATATCTGTTGGCCAAAGCGTGAACTAAACACCTAATACTGTATATAATTTATTTCAATGGTTAAACGGGATGTGCTCCTCAACAAAGGAAGAAAAACATATGCCCACGGAAATCGCGGGATGAGCAAACTTTGTTACATTTGAGTTGCCCGTGTGAATCGCAGGATGATCAGCCAGTAAGTTAATGTGGTAAGTAAATAAGAATAAATCATAACATCCTTTTGTGAAATTTTTTGTAGTGTCTGTGCATACATGTGTGCCTATTTATCTTGCATAACTCAAAAACGATTAGCCATAGAACATTGAAATTTTGCATGTGGGAATGCTATAGTTGTGCACGTAGTTAATTTTTTGGGTGAAATTCAGATTCGTCCGCTTATTCCCAATCTTTATCGATGTGTACATGGACAAAGTCAAGGGAGTGCGCAGTGCCGAGTTTGTGCAATTATCCAATTTTTTTTTAAGTGAAAAATAGGTCGATGTGTACATGGATACCGAGTTTGTGCATTTCTTGTTGGTGATTTTGAAAAACGTGCCGAGAAGTGGGGTATTCTTCACTTTTCCCTTTTTTTTTTTTTTTTTTTTTTTTACATATTTAGTGCTTTATACAGATATAAGTATCTTTAAGTTTTAACTAGATATCTATTTGAAGTAATTAATTTTTAATATATTTAACTCATAATTTTTATAAACATTTTCACCAATGGTTAAATTAATAAAAACACTTCTGAAATCTTAAAATCAGCTGTAGAAAAATTTTCCTAGCATCTTAAAATCAGCTATAGAAAAATTTTCCATTATCACTTAATGCATTTTCCCCCCCTTTTTTAAATGATTAATTAATATTTTTCTGTTTTGTCTTATGCCCGTGATTTAAGATCTGGTAATTCTCTTTCATCTCTTCAGTTTATGTATAAATTAGAAAAGTGTGCAAAATTTAAGTTATATACCAGTTATCAAATATGGATAGTAAAACTTTTATATCCAAACGTGTGAATTTCTGTACTCAAAATGTGTATACAGTACAAAGTCCGAGATTTGGAATTATCAGGAGTTCAACAATTCCAGATTTTTTTAATTTCTGGATTTTAAATTATAAGTTCATATCGAGTAAGATGATATGTAAAAATTATAAGATTAAAATTATTAAGTAGTTGTTTGTAAAATAATGAAACATTCATGATTTTAAGGAATTTTTTTAAAAAGTATTTATGTGTGTTTTATTACACATTTTTATCAATTTAAATTGTTTAAGTAGTTTCATTTTTTATGTTGATACTTTCTGTTTAATTTAATAGACAGACATAATATCTTGTTCAAAGTTCCTTTGCTCAAGTCCTGTAATGCCGTACTGAGAATTCCCACTAAGCCATGAATTGAAAGCGCTTCATTTTCAAAAACCTCTTTCTCACTTTCTTCATTATCAGAAATAATATTTTCTGGATTTAAAACCATACTACAAATTTTGCCGTCTGTTAGTTGACTGCTGATTGAGGCATTGTCATCGCAGTTTAAAGTTTCTATTATAACATTTTCATTTATTATTTCTAGTCCACAAGTTCCAGTAATTGGAAAATTTTGCCTTCTATTGCATTCAGAAGCTACAACAAAATAAGGTTGTTGGTTTGCCTAATTTTGAAATTGCACTTTCTTAAGCCAATGCCATTTTCTTTCACCCAGGCCATTACAGAAAGAACCAAATATGATTTTGCTTTGCAGATCCTGCTGCATCTCCATAATTAGAAACTCTTTTGGACATTATTAAAAATTCAAACTTTAATTTTGATTAGATAGTTGTAATAAAATAGCCTGCAGAATTGAAGCAACAGTGCAGTTTGCTATGTTAACTGACTTTTTAAAGATCTTCAGGATTTAATTCTTTCTTCCTTCCCTGCTACCACACAAACAAACAAAAAGAGAAAGAAAAAAAAAAGTAATGCACAGCATTTCACTCCAAACATACATGTATTGATGATTCACTTACTGTTTTACTTTTTAGGTCAGATAGAAAAATGCTAATTTCCACCCCTTCTGCAGCCAGTCAAGGACCAAAAGCATGGAGGCTAACATCATTTATTGGCCATGGCATGATTTCCTAACCAACAGGTGTTTGAAAGTGACATATTGGAATCGCAACTGGGAAAAAAATCACTTTTATGGCGCAACTGATTTTTTGTTTTTTAGTGTTAAACTCTCCATTCCTAGACTTCTTAGGGAAGGGGGGGGAAGCCTAGTGGTCCGAAGATTCAGATTCATTCCAGATATTAGATTTTGGGTTTCAGTCTTTACTGCATTTCACATTTCAGATTGTATTTATTAAAATGATATATTCACATTGTAAGGTATTTCTCCCACCTTCCTAGCGTGCCTTCGTGGTGTAGAGATCAGCACACTGAGCCAGTATTTCAGAGGAACGTGGTTCAAATCCTGGCGAAGGCGTTGTTAATTTTTCATATCTTCTGTTTCCAAAAATTACCTAATGTCTCTACAGTAGCGCCCGAACTAAAATGGTTGTGGATGATGACTCTCCACATCCAGGATTTTGCGATTGAGTCCCCTAAAAACCTCAGTTGCCCTTTAAAAGGGAGCGTATGTAAGGTATTTCTTCCGCCTTCCTAGCATGCCTTCGTGGTGTAGTGGTCAGCACACTGAGCCGGTATTTCAGAGGTCCGTGGTTCGATTCCTAGTGAGGGCATTGCTAATTATTCATATCTTCTGCTTCCAAACAATATCTAATGTCTCTACAACATAACTAATTTTGTGATATATGAATTATATGGTATTTGAAGGGTTCATTCAAATTTCCATGTTACATTGGTCACAAGCAAGAATGTCTGAATTTTTGTTCATTGATGCATATGTTAAAAGAAAAGAAGAAAGCATTTATTCCATATAATAATACTATATATGTGTAGTGGAGTTGAAGATGCTAAATAACAATTCCAACGTGTTTTCCACACCACAGAACATTTTATAAAAACAAACAGAAGAAGGTATAGATTAGATTAATCACAAGTGCCGTTTGATCTAAACAGGCTTCCGTATAGCTTTTGCCAGTCTTATCACTTAACCGATTAGTGCCTACTCGCACTTGCTGATGTATTATACAGTTCAATTTATCACCTTCACGTGGAAAACTACAGTTCCTTATTCTACACCTTCACGTGTAGACTATCTCAGACAGGTATTGGGATAGCAGAAGAAAGTCTCTCTCTCTTCATACTCCTCTTTCACCTCGCTGCTGGCGCATCGGTGAGGCCCTCTGGTGGTTATGTCGCCCTTACAGATACCACAGCTTGTCCGTCCTGACACTTTTTTGTCCTCAAAAACACGGATCAGCAACACTGGAACATCAAGACAGCACCTGAAAATAAATTTAAAAAAAAAAAAAAGAAAGAAAGAAAGAAAGAAAGAAAAGGAATAAAAACAAAAAGAAAGAAGTGCGGAAGAACCACACATAGTTCTGTATAGTAGAAGTCCACGGCTTCATGAGATCAGCTGCTGTAGTGGTACATGCAGGACCTTCATGGTGTCCCACTTTTTCCACCTAGTAATGATCTTTGCCTTTCCTCGCTGTTACATGGTATGGACCGAAGAACTTTGGCCTTAACTTTAGACCACCTCCATACTGCGTTCTTTGTATGGCAACTAAGTCGTTCACATTGTATACTTGTGCCTCTTTTCTCTTCTTGTTGTATGTTTTTCTATTCTCTTCCTGAATTTTTAGAATGTTTTTCCTTGCTTCCTCTCTCATATTTTCTCGATCTTTCATCATAATATTTCTTTCTTCTTCTTCAAGAATTTCCAAAATCTTTAAGTCCTCTTGATTTCTCATTTTAACACCAGTGAGAATCTCAAATGGAGAACTCTTTGTGCTTCTGCTCTTAGTGCTGTTCAAGATCCTTTGTACATCTCCAACATTATTTGTGCCACTTGGTTGGATCATCTATGGATAATTTGGATAGGACTGGAATCGGAGTGAGATGAATCCTTTCCACTTGTCCATTTCCTCTAGGATTGCCTGTAGTTGTAAATATGTGCTGGATCTTCTCTTGAATACAGTAATCTTCAAAATCTTTAGAGGTAAACGCCTTACCTTTATCACTTATAATTCTCAAAGGATTACCGAAAGTTGATTGTTGCAGTTTCAGCTTCTGCAATGCCTCTCGAACTGATGTAGACTTTACTGGATAGAGACACATGAACTTTGTGAATGCATCAACCATGCTTAAGATGTGATTGTAGTTCTTATTTGTCGAAGCTAATGGTCCTATAAAATCGATATGAAAAGTGCTCAAAGGGAT